AGCACCGCCGGCGGCCACACGAGCAGACCCAGCGCCCCAAGGCTCGGCACCACTAGGCTCCGCACCTCCAGGCTCCGCACCCCCAGGCTCCGCACCCCCAGACCCAGCACCCCCAGGCTTAGCACCCCCAGACTCAGCACCCCCAGACTCTGCACCCCTAGGGTCAGCACCCCCAGTCTCAGCACCCCCAGACCCGGCACCCGCAGGCTCAGCACCTCTAGTAGCACCAGAGTCAACAGCTACCTCGTCAGGCTCGACTGCGTCTACCTGGGAAACATCTGACGGGGCAGGACCCTGAGGGGGGAGGAGGTCTACCAGGGGAGGACCTGGTGCAAGGAAGAGCGGCGGCGGGGGGAGGGGCGCAGCGCGGTAGGGGAAGAGACGGTAGTAAGGCACCGACTCGTTAAAGGTGACGTCCTGGGAGGACAGAACACGGCGCGAGGTGGGGTGGTAAAACTGCCACCCAGGCGCGTCAGGGGGGAAGCCAAGGAAGACACAGGGAACAGCACGGGGGCACAGCTTGTCCGCAGACAAGTCGCGGACAAACGCCCGAGATCCCCAGACCCGAAACGCTGACGCATCTCCTGTTGATTGTGTAGGTGGTTGTGGTATTTTGCTCTAGCTGGTTGTGGGCTAAGGGTTTGGGCAAAATGTGGTGTTGCGGGCTGGTATTGATCTCGCACCCAACAAGCACCAACAAACCTTTGCTATTCACTACAACACCTTTGGTGTTGCTAGTTTAGCACTTTGGGTTTTTGGGGATTGTTGTAGGGCGAGGGTTGGGTTGGTAGGGTTTGAACAACTCGTCACTTTTCAGATCTGAACTCTTGCTAAAGCTAGTCTTTTGGTCTAATCCATGGCTGCCTACTAATTCCGCCAGAATACACCGTCGCACTTAAATCGCGATAGCGATCGGCCTAGATCTTGGTTGAAAGCGTGCGTTACTATTCTGGAAAGTAGAGATTAAGACCGTTCCAACGCGTACCTGCTCATAGTTTAAGGTTACATGAGCTGCACGCAATGTTCCGTCGAAGTCGTCGGACTTAATCTCTTGTACGCTCTCCAAATTCACGCGCTTTCCATCATCTCCAACCTTACCGGTCCACCGCAAGGAGGGGGAGGTCTCTGGAAAGGAGACCCGGGGCTGAAGGTTGAGCTGATGCGCGGCGTACTGAACCGCAAACGGCCACAGTGGCAAAGGCGGCTCGGCGGGGCCGCTGAAGTGCGGCGACGGGGCCGGTGAAAGGGCGGCGACGGGGCCGCGGAAGGGCAGCGACGGGGCCGCTGGAGGGCGGCGACAGGGCCGCAGGTAGGGGCGGCGACGGGGCCGCTGAAAGGGCGGCGACAGGGCCGCGGAAGGGCGGCGAGAGGGCCGCTGAAAGGGCGGCGCCATGGCCGCGGAAGGGGTGGGCGGCGACGGGGCCGCGGAAAGGGCGGCGACGGGGCCGCGGAAGGGCGGCGACGGGGCCGCTGAAGGGCGGCGACGGGGCCGCAGGTAGGGGCGGCGACGGGGCCGCTGAAAGGGCGGCGACAGGGCCGCGGAAGGGCGGCGACGGGGCCGCTGAAAGGCGGCGACGGGGCCGCTGAAGGGCGGCGACGGGGCCGCTGAAAGGGCGGGGACGGGGCCGCGGAAGGGCGGCGACAGGGCCGCTGAAAGGGCGGCGACGGGGCCGCGGAAGGGCGGCGACAGGGCCGCTGAAAGGCGGCGACGGGTCCGCGGAAGGGCGGCAACGGGGCCGCTGAAGGGTGGCGACGGGGCCGCTTAAAGGGCGGCGCGACGGGGCCGCAGGGGCGGCGCGTCGGGGCCGCAATGGCTGCGCGACGGGGCCGTTAGGGGCCGTAAGAGGGGGAACGACACGGGGCGCGACTCGGGCAGGGGCCAAGCGCGCTCCGGGCAGGAAAAAAAAAGATCGGTGGGCTTTAGAAACAGTTCCCAGTTCCCTCGTGGGAACCGTCGCAATTTCGAGCGCACGAGACGGTTGAGTTGCTCCCGCGTCAGTGTCGCGAGAGTGAATTCGGCCATGGCGGGGGTGTCGGGCAAGCTCAGCGAGAGCCTCTGTCGTGGCCGTGCGTCCTTACGAGAGAGCACTACGAGCGGCGGTGCTGTGTCGCTGAGAGACATCTAACCCCCCCAAAATTGAGATAGTGGGTAAGCGAAGGTGTGGGTGCGGTCCGAGAAGAGATCGTAGGCTCTGAATACCAAGTGTTACGAGTGCAATTGAGTAAGCGAGCGAGAATTGCACTATCGAAGCAAGAGCACAAATGAGCGAAGGCATGAGCGAAGAATATATAGCGAAACTACAGTGGTAACGGTAATGGACTCTGGTTGTCGCGCGACGGGCCTGGGACTGAGGTTTGGGGAAACGTCGAAGCGAAGGCCCGGAGCGCGGGTTACCCGCCGAGCCGTGAGGTCGGGTTGCGACGTGCGAAGGTGGTGGGAGGATTGTCGGTGCGAGGGTTGCGAGTGGTAACGGTGCTGACTGTGGTGCTACAGTGGTGTACGCGCTGAGCGGGGACGCGAAGAAAGGAAAAGGAATTTTCCTTGCAACATGAAAATGGTGTACAGGTTCGGGTTCGTTTTGATTTTCAACAATTTGCAGGCCTTCTCTTGGATGTGTGGTTGATCGACGACACCAAACCAGATGCACAGCCGTAGGACCTTTGTCTTACACCATCTGTACCCGCGACAGTTTTCACCGCATCCAATCAGCGGCTAGCATTCCGGGCCTTCCAGTCTCCAGTCCAGTCTGTGCCCTTTTTCTGTTTCCACCCGATCCCTCGCGGGGTGGGGCCAGCATTTCCGAAGGGGCTGGCATTTTGCGACTCCACCCCTAAAAAGATGTGTTGTGTTATGCCTGTTGTTTGCGTGATACCAATTGCCTGGAAAATGATGCGTTACGTTCGCATGTTTGTTGGACACGGAGGCTTTCATAATTACCAGTATTCATCTAGTTCTTCTTTTCGAAATCCTCACGACAGGCAGCCCAGTCTGTAAAAAACAGAAAAATGTAAGAACGAAGTGTCTCTGTCTTGTACTTGTGACTTGCAGAACGAGACAACCCACAGTTGCACCTGGATGCACCCTTCATCTGTAGATGAGTAGCCTACATACTGCCACGTCGCGGAGGCGTCTGTTTTGCATCTTGAAGATGTGGGACGCGCCATTGAGGGGGGGATGTGGAATCAGGTTCGACATGGTCCCACATCTCCCATACTCACATCCTCATCAGGAAAAGTTTTGTATCGCTCGTGTTCACGACTGAAAATATTCAGTCCTGAAGTCTAGCCCAGGAATCACACAATTTTTAGTGTCAAACCATAAAAATCATGCGTGCAAATGCGTGAAAGAATGGGCAGGTTAAGATGTGAACAAAATGTAGCGTGCGATTCTGTCTGGAGCATGGGATTTGCCTGACCTACCGAGCAGGTTGGCTCGCTGCCATCTGCCAGGTTCACTCCTCTAGCGCCTTCGTGTACAAGTGTTCCGGGTTAGAGGTCCTCTCTGAGAGAGTCTCTTTTGCCCCCTGAGTAGAATTTTCCGATATCTCCTAGGGTTGGGCCGTAACCTATAGTCCCTTTTTTGGCGGGAAATTTTGCAGCTTGACCGAATCATTGCACGAATCAGCTCCGCAGCCCATCAGAGGCTCCAGATCAAACCAGCCCAACATTCAAGGAGAACGATGAAGAAGGGATCATCGCTTCAAAATTTTAACTATTAGATGGTAAGTGATTGTTACTCTTGACGGCGACTTCTTCTCAATCCTGTTGCGCTGTCTCAAGCGCGATCGACGATGACATCTATTTGTTTTCGATTACAAGGTAAAAAAACGTTTTGGGTTACTAATCCAACCCAAAACCATTGTTGGTTTTGTTTATTTTTGCCCGTTATTCATGCGACATTGATCAGCGTGGAAGACCATGCGACTGGAAGTTGAAGCAAGCGCGGTCCAAATCTAGGTAAATGCAAAAATACAGAAAATAGTAGCACAATAAAACCACTCTTCATGCAATTCTCGTGAACGGGACTATAAGTACCGCGTTTTGCCTGGGGTTTGAATGTTTTCGCACATAGTCCGTGCGCGGCGATGCTGATCCGTCAGACTATAAACGAGAACATTTGTACTGTATCGACGTGACACTTCTAGATATGTATTGTTTTCTTCTGCGATTAATATATTTTGCCAGAAAATGATGTTGAAAGTGCTCCACAATGCCAGGTGTGTTTGCAAAATTTGGCGTGAATGATCGCTAGTCAGAAATGCAAGGAGCAAGAATGTAGGTGTACGAAGGATTGTGGCTGTGGCTGTAGGGACGCATGCCCGACTGTGGTTTATGTTTTTCTTGCCCGCGGACAGCGAGCTCAGCCGGGCGGGCTCGCTTGTCGGCTGAGCTATACAAAAATGGGCAGCTTGATCTGAAGGACTGGTCGGAAGTGAAGTCGACATCCGTTGACATCCGATGTCGGTAAATCCTGACGGTTGGAACTCTCGATCCGAGAGTTGACATTAACCGACTACATCGAGATCCATTCGACGCTTCACTTCGGACACGCTCTAGTGATCACTCACACACAATAGGAAAACACTAAGAAAACCGTTTCCCACTGTTGCGCCTGCGTGGCAAGCTTCCACTTCGGCTTGGCTACAAGGAGCTTCACATGCACAATGCGCGAGAAATGCAATCTGCAGCATATTTCAGGGTGCCTCACGACCACTATAGTGCCTCTCGAGATTCTAAAACCGTTTATCGGCGCGTTGCGAGGCTTCCCGAGCCACGACCGCGGGAGGGTATCCATTTCGACACACCAAGCAAGCAGTTTTTCCAATCACTCGGTTCGGCTGCATTCGCCTCATCATTCATTGCACAGCCCTCTAACCAAACTACTCGCAATCAGAGAAATCGATTTCTGTTAATCGAGAGCGAACGTTCTTACTCAGATCAGTCCATGGACTCAGATACGCTCGACTCTTAACTTTATCCGTAAGACTCCCATGGATTCCATGGCTTCTTCACATGACGCTGGTGCAAATCTGTCTCACTTCGACACCGCATTATTAGTAGCCCGCCTTTTAGGCCAAAATCCTCTCCGCGGCGAGGCGGCAGCGGCGGACACCATTTTGTCGCACTGTCGCAGAAGCGGCAGCGGCGGCAGCGGCGAAGACCATTTTTCGGAAAACGCAACCCTTGCAAGTATTTCTTCCAGCAACGCAAACCCCATCGCCCGCGGCGGCGCCAGTGTTGGCGGCGAACGCGGCGGCGCATTTTCCGGCAGTCCAGCCGCTAACAAAGAAGAAAAGGCTGAATCGTATCAGTGGAAGAAATACGGGCATAAATTTCTTTCCTCCCAGAATGCGAAAAGGTAAGCAATGGAACCCGAATCGTGCGTGTTTTTATTATTTTATTATCGTGGTTTTCCTACCTTTGTGTCAGTGTAAAATAACAGTTCACAAATTGTTTGTGTGTCTTGTAATGTTAACGAAGCACTCAGAAATAGAATTCCACCCAACCTCCTTTGGCATTCCACCGTCACCCAACCCTCGTTCCGCCCTAATTTCCCCCCTAATCTCTTATCATCATGGTACCGTCGCAGGTTCTACTACCACTGCGTGGAGCGCGACACGACCGGCTGTCCCGCGAAGCTCATTATCGACAAGGTCCCGAAGAAGAAGAAGAGCAAGCACGGCCGCCGCGCGGAACTTAAGGACTTCGTGGCGGCGCGGGAAGTTCCAGGATCCACCGCGCGGCAGCCGCCGGTTGATGGAGCCGCCGTCGTTGGGGCTGATCGCGAGTCCGGCTCGCCGCGAATTGCGGTCGCAGGTTGGGGGGAGAAGGGGGAGAACTCGGAGGATTCCGATTTCGGATGTGAGGAGAATCGCGAAATTCTCGACGCGCTTCCCGTGCTCGAGCGACGCGTGGATCGCACGCTCACCCCGCGCCGCTTCTGGTGCCGCAATCGGCACAACCACCTTCCGCCGCCGCAGCAGCCGCTCCACATGATCGTTTCCGCCGCCGCCGTCGCGCAGCCCCGCATGCACGTCGCGTCGGCGGCAGCGGGTGCCAGCGCCGCTGCTGCTTCCACCGCCGCCACGCTGCTTCCGCCGCCGCCGCCGGGTATCTTTACCGCCGTTCCGCCCGCCGCGACGCTTACTCCGACGGTCGCGCCGACGGCCTCCGCCACCAGCGGCGCCGCGAACGCCGGCGGCGGCGGAGAAACCCCACGCGGCCCACTGACTCCGAATCTAGAGGACTGGCCGCTTGCGCCCAAGTCGCACAGCCCGCCGGTGGGGCCAAGCAGCCCCGAACCTGCGACGGCGGGGCTGGAGCGCGGATTTCCGCCTTGTGGGTTTCCGCCGCGCGGATTGCGGCCGAGCGGATATCCGCCCTGCGCGCACGCAGGTCGGAAACGGGCGCGGAGCCCGGTGGCGCGCGGCGCGGCGGCGGACAATCATCACAAGATCGCGGGGTGGGATCGCGGTAGCGCCATGATGACCCGGCGCCGGCCGTGCAGCACTGCTGGCAGAGATCGTGACGTGTTGGCCGTCAGGCGCGGCGATTCCGCGTTGCACTCGCAACCCCCGCCGCCCGCCGCGCCCGGCCCATCCAATTTCCAGTATTCATTCCCGCCGTTGGGCGCGTTCAATGCGCGGTCGACCCGTGAAGCCCCTCTTCTCTCTGCGCTGCTGGACACCCTGCGCCCGACCACCGCCGCCGCCGCCGCTGCTACCGCAGACGCGCGCGCTACGGTCGCAGCAGCGCCCGACAGCTTCGCGGCCGCAGCAGCGCGCGACAGCTCAGCGGCGGCGGGCGCGCGGCCAAGCGCGGGCGGGTACGACGGCGGTCTGCTTGGGGGAATCGCGGGTGCGCAAAGTCCTGCAGCCGAGGTCAGCCTGACAGCGCATCGCGTGTTCCCCCGCGGCGCCTGCGTCTCCTCCGTGTGCGGAGATCCCACGGACGCTGGGACGCATTCCGCGTGGGGAAATGCCTCGGACGGGGGGGCGGCAACCGCAGGTGCGAACGCGGCCACGGCGGAGGCCGCCGGTGATCCTGCGCCTGGGAAGGCGGAGGAGGGATTTGAGACGCTGTGGTCTTATGTGGAGGCGAATCTGCGGCATCGCGTGACTTCGCAAGGCGCAACAGCAGCTGCAGCAGCTGCAGCTACTGCAGCAGCTGCAGCTACTGCTGCTGCTGCTCCGCTGGGGTTGGCTTCCCTAGCAGCAGGCACTGCTAGGTCACATGGTTTCGTGATGAATGAGATCAGCAACGTTCAGCGCAGGCTGGCGGCAAGCCTGCCACGTGGGCTTCTGGGATTGGCCGAGGAGCAGCGAACGGAGGCAATGCAACAAGCTGAAAAGGGTGCTCATCATGAGTCTTCCGTGCTTCATGTTGGCTCGAGCTGCCCTGTTCTGCCCCCTCTGTCGTCCTCCATCCCTGCTGCTTCTGCTACTGCTGCTGCTGCTGATGGTGGCGTTGGCACGGGCATGGCAGGCAGAAGATTCGAGGAGATTCAGGCGCTTTACATTCGAGGGCTGCTTTGTGGTCAGGGTCTGGTGGGGAGCGGTGGTGAGGGGTTAATGGGGATGGAAAGGCGCTCGACCGAGAAAAAGACGAGTGTGTTTGCTGGGCAAGGACCGCATGAGATGGGAGGGCGGAGCGTGTGTGTGGATGATGGGAATTTTGGGTTGAGGGAGGCAGGAGAGGGAGGAGGAGGAGGAGGAGGAGGAGGGATGGTGGCACGGGAAACAGTGGAGATGGATTTGATTGGTCAGCTTGGTGACCCAACAGCTTCCGGGAGACAGGCGGGCAGCCATGGTGCTCCTCAGGTGCTTTCAACAGAGCTGTGCCTCTGAAGCTCAGGTGCTGTTGCGAGCATAATCCAATGCATCTGTGTTTCAGCCAGCTTCAAATCACCAAGTGAAACTATCAGGCTGTTTCAACGCGGTAGGGAGTGAGCTGAGCTCAACCTTGCACCTAGGCAGCAGCCGGATTTCAGCCAGCACCGCTTGATGTGCTGTGCATGGTATTCTTCTAATACAGTAGTAGTACGGTACTAGTACCGGTATACTTAATTGTCATCAACCAGGCATGCACACAAGGTGCCCTTCTCTGCTAGGCACACTAAGAGCGTGTTCCTACGGACCCCTATCAGGCTAACCCCTTGTCAGGCTGGTGCCGTTTTCCAGACTTGGTCGAAGAATTACCAATGCTGTTCGATGAATTGGTCGCGCGAAATCTTTGACACATGCTGTGCAGTGACCCTTGTCAGGCAATCGCGCGAAATCTTTCGCACGTGCTGTTTCAGCGAGCCACGGTCAAGGAATCGTGCGAAATTCTTCACACATGCTGTTTTGTCGGGTATAAAGCATACAAAGAATTTTCCGCCAAACACACGTTTCAATCGCCTGAAAATTGTCTGAACTCGGAAACTTGTTCTCTTGCAACCTTTCGGGACCGTTGCGCAGTGCCACGTCACCCAACGCATTTTGTCGCACACTTCACAAACGACCAAACCGTCTAATTCACAATGCGTTTTTTTCCGAAATTCTGGTGTTTGAGGCGAGTCTGACAAGGGGCTGGCCTGATAGGGGCCCGTAGGAACACGCTCTAAGATGCTCTTGTAATACCATACAACTACTGTATATTATACAGCATCTGCGTGTTTTATTGGCATGACATGGCACATTTCTCGTCACGGTTCCAGGCTGCAAACATATCCTTATACTAAACTCATCAGCCAGGGCTTTGCTTTGCAACGGTTCTTTAGACAAGGGATGACCACCAGCCCTCAGGGCCTATCACAAAGCTGTTTTGGGGCCGCCTCAAAGACCATCCCGTGTTGTTGTGAGGCTTCTGCGAGGCGTGCTGTTGCCGTAGTGTGGTTTGCCGGATTAGAGTTAGAGCGTGGTTTGTCGGGCGAGGGCACAGAAGCCGTAGCAGAGCTGTGAACAGCTGAGGGAGTGAGGGGCGGGAGGGCGCGTGAGAGAGGGAGGGAGTGGCGTGAACACTCGACGAGCAGCAATTGAGTGGTAACTGAGCGGCATATATGCGGCGAATGAGTGGCACATGAGCGGCAATGAGGAGAGATGCTGTGCGCTCACTTACTCCATGTCTGAAGGTAGATCGAAGGTGGTGCTGGGAAAGGAGTGCGGCTTATAGAACGAGGCGTGAGAGAAGGTCATTTGCTCCAAGGGCTCCTGAGGGGGTATGGTGTGAGGGGAGAAAAGGGTTGAGGGATGTGGTGTGGGATGTGGTGTGGGATGTGGTGTGGGATGTGGTGTGGGATGGGGCGACGGCTGGAAGGAATGGCATGGAACTGGAAGGGAGAAGAAGCTGATGCGAGGCAGTGACCTAGCATCCTCTCTCACAAACGCACAGGCATGCCTGTTGATGCCTTACCATGTAGATTCGCATGGGCACATCATCCTCTGAATGCCAGTAGTAGTTGTTCTGAAGCCCCTGCCGCTTCCTGCTCGCTCTCATGCAACACAGATGTAACACACCCAGATGAAAACACAAACATGGGAACACACACACATGGGAACACACACACATGGGAACACACACACATGGGAACACACCCACATGGGAACACCCACATGGGAACACACCCACATGGGAACACACCCGAATGAGAAAACACCCAGATGAGAACATGACAACACATGCAGATGGCAGCACATGTTGGGACATGGAACAACTGAGGAAGGGGCCGTATGCGATTGCGAGGAGAACACAGCAATGGCACAAAACAAACAGAGGGGCAAAGAGCAGCAGGCAGCAGGCATCATCCCTCATCACTCCTCATCACCCCTCATCACCCCTCATCACCCCTCATCACCCCTCACCATTTAGTAGAGGAAATGTCATCCACATAGTCCCGGCCCATATAGGTGGCATTGGCCAGCCAATCAGGGCGCACCACGTCACACCCATTGGCCGCAGAGCAGCAGCGGCAGCAATACTGAGTCCAGGCAAGTGGAAGAAGCGGGGGCGGGGGCGGGGAAGGGGCGGGGGGGAGGATGGAGAGAGAAGATGGGTGAGGGGGGATGGTCGACAGATGAGTCTGTCAAAGCCAGGAAAAACCATCATTTAATCATTCTTATGTGCGCCGATGACGCAACGCTCACCTTTTCCTGGGGGAATACGAGATAGCGCCAGGAGAATTTTGAGTCGGCTCAAAGCAAGGACAAACCACCACTACATCATTCTTACATTACATGCGCCTGTGCTGGAAAGCTCACCTTTTCCTGGGGGAAGATGAGATAGCGCCAGGAGTCCCGCACCAGTTGGGTGCATGGGGTAGCCCTCAGAGGCAGCGCAGAGCTGCACGTGGGAGAGAGAGTGAGAGAGGGGGGAGGAGGGAGGGGGATCCTTTGAAAGAGCACCAGCTGGGTGCATGGGGTGGCCCTCAGAGGCAACGCGGAGCTGCACGTGGGCGAGGGAGTGGGAACAAGGGGGGAGGGGATGGGGGTCCTTTAAGAGAGCACCCAGTGGGTGCATGAAACAGGGCTACGGCGCGCCGCCGCACGACGCGGCTGGCCGGGCCCATAGGAGGCGGCGCCGTAACTTAGGAGGCGGCACCGTAACTTAGGAGGCGGCGCCGTAACTTAGGAGGCGGCGCCGTAACTTAGGAGGCGGCGCCGTAACTTAGGAGGCGGCGCCGTAACTTAGGAGGCGGCGCCGCCGCTTGTTTAAAGAGAAGAGGAGTCGTCTTCGCGGCGGACGGAGAAAGCTAGGAATAACGCCACGATTCAGAGACAAAGACGAGAGAGTCGATTTTTAAGTCGACTTAAAAATCGATTCAGAGACAAAGACGAGAGAGTAGATGGGAGAAGGTCCGAGCTAGGAGATAGGGATTCAAGATGCTTATATCAAAAGGGATACGATGGTCCAACAAGAAGCAGGAAGAGATATCTATGCTCGAGAGAATAAGCGCGGTGGCTCGAGAAGAAAGCCTGCGTCGCCACGCTTTGAGCATGGCAGCTTGGCATGGCGCCTCGATGCCCCGATGCATGACCACACTTATGCATGACCACACTTATGCATGACCACACTTATGCATGACCACACTTATGCATGACCACACTTATGCATGACCACACTTATGCCCCGCTGGGTTCTGGAGTGTGACGGGGATAAGAGGAAGATGTCTATGCTAGCAAGTGTTCCTGTTCGGAGCTAACTAGGCATCAACCCTTCGGAAATTCCCATGCATCCCGCATGGTGAATTCCTGTCTTGTTACAGTGCATGGGGTGGCTGGCGGGCCCTGAGAGGCAGTGCGGAAGGGCTTAGTTTTGCCTCATTCTGCAGCGCCCTAAGAATACCAAGCGCAAACTCACCCGCAGTATCGATCCCCACCCTCTTCATTTTTCAGAAAGGGCTGAAAAATTTGCCTCATTCATTCTGAAGCGCCCAAAGAATTACAATCACCCACTCACCCGCAGTATCGATCCCCCAGTCCGTTCCGCCGGTCGATCCGCTGCCTGCGCGTGGTGTAGTCATACCACCAGGTGCCTTCTGTCGTCAGGGTGTACCAGGGGAGGTACATCTCCTGTGGTGAGCGGGAACCAGGGGAGTTAAATTTCCAGCAGTGAACGAGGGGAGTAGTGTCTCGTTGACTGAACCAGCTCTGCTTAGAAACCGTTATGAGCTTATTGTCATATAACTAGGTGGGAATAGTCCCATTTAAAGGGAAAAATACATCCCCTTGTGGCATATTGCCTTGTAACGAGGTGGAACAAGCCATGTTCACACGAATCTTTCTCACCTCATTGAAGTCAACTTGGAATCTCGGCGGCCAAACAGGGGCACGGGGGGCTTCACTTTGTGAGCCTGCGCTTATTCCACCATCGACAGAAGAACCCTTCGTTATAGTCACTTGCTGGCGAATCCCATGGCTCTTGATGTCAGGGTCTTCTGCTGACGTCATGAGCAGCTGGCTGGTAGCAGGTACGCGAACCGCACTTGCGGAGGGAGAATGCGATACTAACGAGAAAACGGTGCAGAGGAGATACGCAACTGCGACAGCGGGAACTGAGAGCGGAAGAAGGGACGAGGAAATCCGGCCACGAGTCGCCATCGCTGCTGTCTACAATAGGCGACAATCTACCTAGAGCCGACAGCCTACCACAACAACTACTAATCTAGGCGACACTCTAGGCGACAAGCTACATATGCAAACCTCAGAATCGCAGGGCCGCTAGACAGAATTTCGGCTGAATTTGAATGCGCAGGGCTCGACATAAGCGGCTCCGTTGAAAAGGGTATACTCGACTCAGATTCTTGTTGGCTATAACCGATATCGGGTTGACGAAGTCACACCAGACAATTCTGTTTAACTACACCAGCCTGCCAGGGCTGAGTCTCAATGTTCCACGAAAAAAAACACAGTTAAGGAGATTTCTCACGTAGGTACTTGCACATGCGGACACTTGCATTTTGCAGCGGAGCATCTGTGCCATATGGAGCTGTCGCTACACTGACGTTGCTACACATGCCTTTCAAGCTCTTGCTGCATATCACAAAATATTTTCAACCTCATCTAGTCTTGTCACCCCCATCAAATGCCTCACTCCGCCAATTTCTTTTTCTTCTTGGTCGATCCGCTCGCCCCCGGTGTGGCCCCATCCTCCTCCTTGGCCTTCTTTTTCTTCTTGGCCGAGCCATCCGTAGCGCCAGGCGTTGCACTCCCATCCGCTACCGCGTCCTTCTTTTTCTTCTTGGCCGAACCATCAGTTGCACCAGGTGTTGCACTCCCATCCGCTGCCGCATCCTTCTTTTTCTTCTTCTTCTCAGAAGCGGGGGTCACCGGCGCTGCTGCTTCCTCCTTCGCCTTGCCTTCGTCCTCCCTGTCACGCTTTTTCTTCTTTTTCTTCTGAAAGAAAACACACGGAACGACAAACAGAGGAAGGAGGAAGGAGAAAGGAAAAACGACAGGTTGAAGGACATGGGATTGGAGGGGCAAACAAGGGCGCACAGGACAAACACCGGATCGAGAAAGATCATGCTACTTATATTAACCAACCAGACAGAACCGAGGGGATCACATCCAAAACCACCCGAGGGCTACAGAAGCACACCCCACCACCTGAGGCACTTTCACCTAACCACAACGCACCTCGGTGGAGGGAGGCTCTGCCCCATCGGCATCCACACGGGCAGAAGCGGAGGGAGTGGCCTCGCCGTTCTCCTTGTCCTTCTTTGCTTTCTTCTCCTTCTTCGCCTTCCTAGCCGACTCCTCCCCTGCCGCTGGTGTTGCGTCTGTTGCTGGGGACTTGGCTGTCAAGAGCGCATCAGATGCGGGGTTGTAGGCCTGCAGGGGGGAGAGGAGGGGGTGGGGAGAGACGGGTGAAAGATATTGTACTGCTGTGCCTGAAAGCGGGACTTGGCTGTCAACAGCGCATCAGACGCGGGGTTTTAGGCCTGCAGACAGGAAAGACGGGGTGGGAAAGGTCGGTGGGGGAAAGTGAGTGAGAGGTGAAGTGGGGAGCACTGTGACGTGCCGTGATGCCTGGAGAGAAAGAATCGTTCCGAAACGACGCTCTGTTTTGAGTCAACTCAAAACCTGATGCCTGAAAAGAAAGAATCGTTCCGAAACGACTCACAAATGACCCTATCCAGTGCTGCGTGCGTGACGCCATGCCTGTAAAAAGTATCCCTAAAAGCTTCAAATCTCCTACCATCCCCATGACCCTTCGTGACTTACCTTGGCAGGGGTGATGAGTCCTCCCGTGCTCTCCTTCCTGTCCTTGTCATACGCCCCCAGCTTCGCCTTGCCCTTGCTCGCTGCACTCGCACTACGCTTTTGAAGTACTCTAACACACACCCGTAACGTAAATACCTTGGCAGGGGTGATGAGTCCTCCCGTGCCCTCCTTCCGGTCCTTGTCGTACGCCCCCAGCTTCGCCTTGCCCTTGCTCGCTGCACTCGCACTGCCCAACACCCGCCCCTCCAGCTGCCGCAGCCGCTGCTCAATCTGTTTGTCAATCACACGCAAAAGGGGAGGAACACACAGAGGAGAGTCAGTACAGTGCAGAAACATGAGCGGATGGCAGCACCAGCAGCAATCGCATTGAAAGAATACATTTCCTTAATCCCACTATGTTCCATTTCATCCCCTCACACCCACCTTAGCACGCCCCTCAATCCCCATGGTAGGCTCAGTGGCATCACCCAGGGCGTCCACGCGAATAGCGAGGGAGCACTTGGCGGCGAGCACACGGGGATCTTGCCCTTGAGCTTGGGTGACGCCTGGCCTTCCCCTTACCTCCTGTCCCACCCTTTTGTCACGCACCTTAGAACGCCCCTCAATCCCGACTGTGGGCTCCGTGGCATCACCCAGGGCGTCCACGCGAATAGCGAGGGAGCACTTGGCAGCCAGCACACGGGGATCTTGCCCTTGAGCTTGGGTGACGCCTGGCCTACCTGTCTCTTATTCCCTTTCCCTTCCCATCTGTGCCAACCAACCTCCCCCCTCCTATACCACAAACCTTGGCGCGGCCTTCAATGCCAACAGTGGGCTCGGTGGCATCACCCAGGGCGTCCACGCGGATAGCAAGCGAGCACTTGGCGGCGAGCACGCGGGAGATCTTGCCCTTGAGCTTGGGGGGCGCCTGGCCGATGAGGGACGCGTGGAAGATGAGCCCGTACTTGGGCGTGTCGTGCTTCGTCTTCAGCGCGCGGAACAGAGCCTGAGGGGAGGGGGGGGGGGGGGGGGGGGGGGGGGGGGGGGGGGGGGGGTTGGGGGAAAGGAGTTGGGAACCAAGAAGATACGGGCCGATGAGCGACGCGTGGAAGATGAGCCCGTACTTGGGCGTGTCGTGCTTTGTCTTGAGCGCGCGGAAGAGCGCCTGATAGGGGGAGGGGAGAGGGGGGATTCGGAACAAGGGGGATGAGGGAAGGCAGGGGAAAAGGGAGGACGAGGGAAGGCAGGGGAAAAGCGAGGACGAGGGAAGGCAGGGGAAAAGCGAGGACGAGGGAAGGCAGGGGAAAAGGGAGGACGAGGGAAGGCAGGGGAAAAGCGAGGACGAGGGAAGGCAGGGGAAAATCGAGGACGAGGGAAGGCAGGGGAAAAGCGAGGACGAGGGAAGGCAGGGGAAAAGCGAGGACGAGGGAAGGCAGGGGAAAAGCGAGGACGAGCGAGGCGTGGAAGGAAGATGAGCCCGTACTTGGGCGTGTCGTGCTTCGACTTGAAGGCATGACCAACTGTCTTCCATGGTGGTGTGACGAGTGCCATGGCTGGCATACCCTCTCAGCAGCACCGAGGATCCTAAAACCTGCCTCCCTATTTGTCTACCGTACCGACTAGACAGGCATGCATGCACCTGCGCTGCGCCCTCTGAAAGGCTGCGTTCTGTACCGTGCCGTGACATCTGACGTGCTACACCATCATCCGCACACGTCTTACCTTCTCAGCGCCAAGGATCTGTACGGTGGAGGCGGGGTGCTTGGCCAGGCTCATCAATGACCCCGCGTGAGCAATGAGGCGCGCCCCCACGAGCTCGCCCACCAGCACCGTCAGGTTGGGCGCTATGGCCAGCACGCTGCGCCCTTTACCTTGCTACACCACCACCACCCCTTCACCCCGCAACATACGTACCTTCTCTGCGCCCAGGATCTGCACGGTGGAGGCGGGGTGCTTGGCCAGGCTCATGAGGGAACCGGCATGCGCGATGAGACGTGCTCCCACGAGCTCGCCCACCAGCACTGTGAGGTTGGGCGCTATGGCGAGCATGCGCGATCGCAGGTAGTCGAACAGCTGCGCGCGGTACTCTGAGAGCGCGATCACCTGGAGGAGGAAAGGTTTTAGGGTGGTAAGGAATGAGGCATTTCAGTCGAACAGACGAGGATGGGCGAGAATGGGAATCCAAAGCACGTATACAGTCGCACTAACACCGCACTGTGAGTGTGGCAGCACTTTGATTGTGGCAGCACTGCGAGTGTGTGTACCAGCATGGCAGCCATTTCACTTACATTGTCCCTGTGTTGATCGAAACGTGTGACTGACCTGGTCGCAGAGAGCAATGATGTTGGTCATGTCGTGCTCGCTGACCTCCGTCCCCATGGAAATCACTGCCGCATCCTTCATGGCCGACTCCACATCCTCCTCCAATATCTGAGGTGATGGATGGCGGTGGGGGAAGGGGGGGGGGGAGGGGGGAAAGGGAAGTTAGCATGGGAGGGTATATGCAGAGATCGCCGCCGCATCCTACATGGCCGACATCCTCTAATATCTCAAGCTCACCCCGGAGAAGTCAAGGTCGGCGGCGTTGACGCGGTGGGCCATGAGCTTGACGGCGCGCGCGTACTGCAGGTTGTCCGAGACGATCTTAGCGAGCTCGGGGAAGTGCCAGCCGTACCACTCGCGCACGCGCATGGCGTACGTGTTCAGCTCCTTGTCCAGATCGTCCAGCAGCCCGATCGCCTGCACTATCATCGTGTCCACCTGCGCTCAACGGGATTGGTTGATCGTGTGTGGTCAGGTAGGGGAGGGAGGAAAAGTGGGTGGCTGGGGTTCATGGAAAGTGGTTGGATCGTGTAAGGCAAGTACCATCCACCCACCCGTGCAAGGCGGATCATGAATACACCAACCATTCGCTTTGTACGTCAATGTCGTGTATGCATACATGCATGCATGCAGGAGGGCATACCTTGTCGGGAGAGAACTTGAGCTTGTAGCGCGACAGGCTGTGGCTGAGCCCCAGGCTCATGGGCGCGAGATCCGTGCCTGACAGCCCTGCGATGAGCTCCGAGAGGTGCGACCGCACCCCGCGCATGAGCTCCATTACCGCTGCGTTGTGCACGCATGTCACTCCCTGCATGGGCGCAGAGGGGAGGGAAATCAAGGGAGAGGGAGAGGAACAATACAGTGAGCAACGGCAGCCCTGCGATGAGCTCCGAGAGATGTGAGCGCACCCCGCGCATCAGCTCCATCACTCCCGCGCTGTGCACGCACGTCACTCCCTGTCGCGCGTGGAGAAGCACGGAGGGAGAAAAAAAGAGCGGGAGCGGCAGAAAGAAATCTGAGAGGTGTCGAAGCCCCTCCGCTGCCTACCTGTGCCAATGGCCTCTTACCACCGATGCCACTTCGATTACAAAATTTCTAGCAGTGACACAGCGCCTTCACATTTTTTTTGCCCTTGCTCGGCCTGGTCTCCACTCCACCATACTTCTTACAATCCCACCCCCTTTCTTATCACAATCCTTCCCTCATTCCCAACCCCCTTCGAATCGCGTTCCCTCTGCCAATCCCAATCCCCCTTTTCACCCGCGTCCTCCCCCTTCCCCCGCGCCCCAATCCCCGCACCAGTTTCTCTTTTATAATGTTGCCGAGCTTCGAGTCGGCGACGGCGAGCGTCTCGCCCTGGCACTGCGCCTTGACGAACTTCTTCAGCCCCTTGCTCAGCTTGCTCTCCACCAGCGCCGTCGCCGCGCCCAGCGCGTCCGCCGTGTTCTCGAACTTGTCGAACGCCTTCAGCTTCACCACCTGCAGACGGAAAAGGGGAATACGGGGGAGGAGAGAGGGGTTAGCGGGGCTTAAATAACGCTCAACGCGTACGCCGCGTTCTCGAACTTGTCGAACGCCTTAAGCTTCACCACCAGCACGAAGGGAAGGTTGAAGGAAACGGTTTGTTGGGACGGACCGGGGAGGGGTTCAAATGGACCCGATCTATCCTCTCATCCCCCCCCCCCCCACCCCCCCTTAAAACCTATCGCATTCTCTCGCATTTGTCACCTTACTCTCTCGCCCTACCAAACTCTCTAATAAATTCGCGAAAAACTTCCCTGCCTGGTTACCGCTCTCTACTCCTTAGCACCACTTGCCTTGCTGGCGCTTTCCGACGACTCGAAGTGCGTCCAGATGTCCTCGACCTTGTCGAGCTTCTTGTCGTCTAGAACCTTAAACAGCGCGAACCCCGCCGGGGTCTCGAACAGAAGCAACATCGCGACGGCGACGGGTGCCGGTTTTTAGAATTGGTTCTGCGGGGAACAACGCACGGATTCAGTAGGGCCAATGTCAGTTCAGGTACTAGCGGCAGTGACAATGCGAGCGTCGTCGCGACAGCTGCTGATGGCAATGGACGAGGGATTAATGAAGGATGAGATACATGCGAAGAGCGGCACTAGAATTCACGAGACCTAACGAATAGAAGAAAAGCCTTCTGCAAATAAAGCGGAACAAGACATAAACTCTACGAATGAAAAAAAACTGAAACCCTGATGGCCGTCTCAGGATTCCTCAGCACATCCAGACTCTGACGCTTATTTACGTGACTATTAGCACCCTAACGCTCAAGAAAACGACTTTTGGAACGGTAAAGGCTGCTTGTAACCCTCACAGTCGCGGTAACTTGTTGCTGTTTGCGTTCCGTCAGTTCCGTCAGGACCTGTTGCCTGTCGCACAATTTCCGTTTACGGAACCTACCTTCGATGAAGAAAGTCGCAGAGATATTAGTCTTTAATCTTCTTCTAACTATCAAGCGAATGCAGGACCAGGAAACGCGGAAGAAAAGAAGCTCGTGTCGTGCCTGCTAAAGCCCTGAGACCAGGAGCAAGATTTCCAGGTTTTTCAGGTTTCTCCGAAGAGATAGGGAAACGAGGGCGGGAGGGGAGAGAGAGAGGGAGAAGAGGAGAATCTCAAGGGAGAAGAGGAGAATCTCGAGGGAAGAAACAAACCTAGAGGAGGGGAGGAGGGAGAGAGTTGGAGGTAAATTGTTGAACTCGATACAGTGCACTGGTGTACTGTTTTGAGTGACTGTTGACGATGCACATCTTGAAAGTTTTTTGTCCAAACGAAACATGTCGTACAATTTTCACCTTCCAACATTTCTCTCCACGAAAGCACAGCACTTGACGCACATCACGGGCGACGAGGCTTCATTTACATCAGCAGCATTTAGGCACCCTCGCCAGTCGATGCGTTCGCATTCACTTCGGGCAGCAGCACGAGGCGCGTTGCTCGCCCCTGTCCTCCCGTTTTTTCGCCGATAATGAAGCTAGAACCGCCGCGGGGGAGGCTGGATTCCCCCCAGCCGCCGCAGCCGCGACGGTGGCCGCAAGAGGAGCAGAGTGAGCAGCAGCAGCAGCAGGCACTGCCGCAGAAAAGCCGGCAGGAGCAGAAACAGCGGGAGCATCATCTTGAGCGCGCCGCATATGACGGGCAGCGTCCTCGCCACCATAGGTCGCAGCAGGGAGAGCAGCAGCAGCGTCAACCGCAGCCGCAGCATCTTGACATGCGCGCACCACGTGACGGGCTCAGGCAGAGTCCTCGCCAGCAGCAGTCGCAGCCGTCGCAGCACTCGCAGGCGCATCGCCCACCTCTTCGCGAACGCCTTCGCGAGCTCACGCAACAAATTCGGGAAGCGGCGCGCGAGGGGCAGCGCGCGGAGGGCGGGCGCAGGCGCAGGCGCGCGGAGGAGCGGGTCGACGCGCTTATGGCGGAATACCACGCGCTGGGCGGCGCGCCTGCCACGTGGATGTACGCGGCTCGGATCCAGCTGTGCCTGGTGAAGGGTGCCACGTGGCGCCGACTCGGGAGGGGGAGGTTTCAACTGGCGGAGGCGGAACCCGGGCGGACGCGTCTGGGCGGGGGCGCAACGGGGGAACGCGAGGGGGAAGTGCGGGTCGGAGAAGGGGAAGGGGAAGCGGAAGGGAGACAGCGAGTAGCGTTGCGACAGCTGGCGCGCGCTCGGGAGCTGTGGCAGGAGATGCGCGCCCACGGTCTGCAAGCAGACAAATACGCCGCCTCCGCAATGATTGCGGTGTGCGGGCGGGCGGGCAGGGCGGATGAAGCAGAGAGGGTGATGGCAGGCGTGGCGCTGGGGGGGAGAAGAGTGGTGGGGGAGGCGGTGCTGGGGGGGAGAAGAGTGGTGGGGGAGGCGGTGCTGGGGGGGAGAAGAGTGGTGGGGGAGGCGATGCTGGGGGGGACTTGGGAGGGGGAGGCTGTGTTGGAAGGCACTGGGGTGGGGGGACAGGTGGAGCCGGGGAAGGTGTCTTCTGGTGCTGGTGTTGCTGATGATGCAAGGAGCCGTGACGCAGGCATGGGTGGATTCAACAGTGGGTTGAATGGTGGGTGGAAGAGTGGCTTTAACGACGTGGTGGTGTGGAATGCACTGGCAGATGCGTGGAGTCGGAGCGGGGATGCAGAGCGGTCTGAAGGGGTGCTCTCTCGCATGCTGCACGCGCACTGCCCGCCCAACCTCGTGAGTCTTGGTGTTGGTGGTGGTGGTGGTTGTTGCTGCTGCTGAGCTGCGTGCTTCTGGCTCAGTTCTGTTTCACTGCTCTGCTCCATGGTCATTGTCATTGTACCAGCGCCTTCGTTTCACCTGTGATGGCGTGGCGTCGTCATCACATGACGAAAGCTGCGCGCCATTTCCCGCTGCTTTTTCCACCCATGTGCCCAATGTTCTTGCTCCGGTCCGCCCATGTGTCTTCTCCGGTCCGCCCATGTGTCTTCTCCGGTCCGCCCATGTGTCTTCTCCGGTCCGCCCATGTGTCTTCTCCGGTCCGCCTGTGTGCAGCGGAGCTACAACATCGTTCTCAACGCCTATGCCAAGAGCATCACGCCAGTCAGTGCCCATGGCGATGATCATACTAGTGAGCATGTTAATGAGGGGAGAGGAGAGATGAGAGTGATCAGACACAATGATCGCAGAGAGGAGCAGTGGGCGGATGGATTGATGAGAGGCCACGGGTGGCTGACGCATGGCGGGCGGCATGGCTCGTCTCCATCCGTGCCTCCCCGGCTCAGCCCGTCTGAGACCATCCATCGCATGCGCCAGCTCATCGCCTCGATGTCGAGACAAGAATTGCCGCCCTGGCCTAGTAATGCCGCCCGGTGCACGTCCAGACAGGATCTAGCCGCCCGTGTGACGAGAAGTTCAAAAAGCACCCTTGATGCTGTAACTCCCTGTACTACCACTTCTGCTACTGTGACTCCTGATGCCGTCACTCCTGATATAGTCACGTTCAACACGTTGCTGGATGCATGTGCCCGGGCGGCGGATGTGGATGCTGCAGTGGACACGTGGCAGCAGATGATTGGTTCAGGCATCACACCCACAGAGGTAGGAGCGAATCGCCATGGGGGTTGGCGGGTGGGTGGGGGATGTGGGTGGGTGAATGTGTGGGTGTGCTTTTCACCATAGCTGTTCTTTTGAGTATAAAGAAGGGCACATATATCGTTCTTCCTGATGTCGCCCCCTGCTCCCGTTCTCCCTCGCACTCCCCTTTCCTCCCCCTCTCCTCACCCCCCCACTGCTCCACAGCTTTACACCTTTTCCTGCAACCATTTGTTTCCTCTCTCACTGCCGCCTTCCGCACTATCTCTCCCCAATCGCCCCATGTACCGTATCCCTTCTTTCCCCCATTCCCCTGCAGGCCTCCATCTCTTCACTCACAGCCGCCTTCCGCCTCGCCCCTTCCCTGCCTTCTGACCTGCTCGCGTCCCTGGCGCCTACTGACCTTCCTCCACGTCAGCCAGCCAATCAGACGCAGACAGATCAGCTTCTTGGCCTCATGCAGCAATCTGCAATAAAGCGAAATCATCATCATTATCATCATCAGCAGCAGCATCAACTTTATCCCTGTGCTGCTGGTGCTCCCACCGCTGTACAGTCACCTTCCGCCTCTGTACAGTCACACTCCGCCTCTGTACATTCACCTTCCATCTCTGTACAGTCACACTCCTCACAGTCAATTCCTTCTGTACAGTCACCTCTCATCACCAGCGAGCCAGTCATTGAAGCAGCCAGCAGCGAGAAGCAAGACCAGGACCCTCACCCCTCGCTTTCACTCAAAACACACCAAGACCAGGACCCTCACCCCTCGCTTTCACTCAAAACACACCAAGACCAGGACCCTCACCCCTCGCTTTCACTCAAAACACACCAAGACCAGGACCCTCACCCCTCGCTTTCACTCAAAACACACCAAGACCAGGACCCTCACCCCTCGCTTTCACTCAAAACACACCAAGACCAGGACCCTCACCCCTCGCTTTCACTCAAAACACACCAAGACCAGGACCCTCACCCCTCGCTTTCACTCAAAACACACCAAGACCAGGACCCTCACCCCTCGCTTTCACTCAAAACACACCAAGACCAGGACCCTCACCCCTCGCTTTCCCTCAAAACACACCAAGACCAGGACCCTCACCCCTCGCTTTCCCTCAAAACACACCAAGACCAGGACCCTCACCCCTCGCTTTCCCTCAAAACACACCAAGACCAGGACCCTCACCCCTCGCTTTCCCTCAAAACACACCAAGACCAGGACCCTCACCCCTCGCTTTCCCTCAAAACACACCAAGACCAGGACCCTCACCCCTCGCTTTCCCTCAAAACACACCAAGACCAGGACCCTCACCCCTCGCTTTCACTCAAAACACACCAAGACCAGGACCCTCACCCCTCGCTTTCACTCAAAACACACCAAGACCAGGACCCTCACCCCTCGCTTTCACTCAAAACACACCAAGACCAGGACCCTCACCCCTCGCTTTCACTCAAAACACACCAAGACCAGGACCCTCACCCCTCGCTTTCCCCCGCCACACTCCCAAGCTCATCCCTATCCTCCCACTCTCATCCCACCTCACCCTTTCTGAGTATGAACGAAGCACCGCAACAAAACAGTATGGATTTCCATTTCCGCCCATCCCTTGTCTCGGCCACCGTTCCAAGCCCGCCCGCAACACCCCCTCCCTTACCTCCCACTGCTCCTATAAGCCCTCCCCCGCTTCCCCCGGCCACCTCTGCTGCCACTGAACCAGGCCTGTTTTCTAGGCTCGGCCCGTGGCTGCAGCAGTGGTTCGGGGAGCCAGCAGCCACGGCACCAGCAGCACAGGGAGCTCTGGGGACTGCTGGAATGGGGGCGAGGGGGGGTTGGGGCGGTCAGGTGTCGAGATATAGGGCTGGTGAGATGGGGGGTGAGCGGAGGGGAGAAGGGGGAGGAGGTGGTGGTGGTGGGGCGATGGGCGAGTTGGGAGTGAGGGGGATGAAGGGCGGTTGGGGCGGTGAGGTGTTGAGACATGGGGCAGGCGAGATGGGGGGTGAGCGGGGAAGAGGAGGAGGAGGAGGTGGGAGGGGCGAGTTGGGAGTGGGAGGGAGAGCGTGGGAGGGCAAGAGCATGGGGGAGAGGGTATGGGAGGGGAGCGATGGCACAGGGGAGAGGGCACCGGAGGGTGGTGAGGGCATGGGGAAGAGGGTATGGGAGGGTGGCGAGGGCATGGGGGTGGTTACTCTAGATCTGCATGGCTTGTCCGCAATGCAGAGTAGACTCCGCCTCATGGATGCCCTCCTCCCTCCCTCACTCCCTCCCTCACTCCCTCCCTCACTCCCTCCCTCACTCCCTCCCTCACTCCCTCCCTCGCTCCCTCACTCACTCCCTAACCCGCACCTGCACTCACACCCTCACTCGCCCTCTCCTTCGCACACTCGCTTGGCAGCTCCCACGGGGTCCTCACCAGCCCGAGGGTGTGAGAGTACACCCCTCTCCTCTCTCGCTCGTTTCACAGAAACTGAAGCATCTCAGAAGCACCCTGCCCCAGGTGCACCTCTGAAGAAGCCAGTGTTTGTGCATCGATCCACCCTGACAGCAGCATCGGAGGCAGCAGCGGCGGCGGCGGCGGCGGCGGCAGCAGCAGCAGCCGTGGCTCAAGGTGGTGATGGCAGTCCCTCACAGCACAGCAGGGGACTGGTCATTATCACAGGAGCTGGCAGGTCCGTTCCAACCCTCTCAAACCCTGCTTGCTTCCTACCTAGTACCTTCTCCCATCTCGTGCCCCCATCTCGTACCCCCATCTCGTACCCCCATCTGGTGGGAAGGCCTTCCTACCCCCAACTCTGCATTGCATTCATTTCCGATCTTTATGAATGGCACTCTGATCACTTGCTGACTAGCACTGATGAAATTTTGACTTGGGGCCTGTCCCAGTCAGCCGAAACATGTTTGCGTTTCAATCTCTTAATTGGATTCGAGAGTTTGGTTTTCTTGATTTTCTTGGCACTTTGCAGGGTGCCACATACAGATTAGTACTACTGTCTTTCTCTTGCTAAAAGTGACTTCCCGACTGCAGCTCACCCAGTCCACATGGCTGACGTTCGTTTCCGATCTTTGCGAATGGCGCTCTAATCACTTGCAGACTGCAAAAGCTTGGCGCTTTCCCATGCCCTGCTGCTTCAGTATGCATGCAGTTGACAGGTTCTTTCTCTCTGTCTCATCGTATCTCAATCAACCAACCCCCTTGTGAGTCTATGCCCGTGTGACTGTATGTCTGTGTGACTGTATGTTGTAATTATGCCCTTGTGACTGTATCCCGCGTTTGCATGTGTGTGACTGTGACTAAAAGCAGGGGCCGCTCGTTTGTAAGAGAGGCGGTCATGCAGCAGTTATCGGGCCTCAGGTGCGTAGAAAACCCAAATGGAAGTGGGTGTGAACTTTGATACCAACTTGAAGGAGGGGTTAGTATGTGCCTTTTCATGCTTTGATCGTACTGGAAAAGCACACGCCCCCCGGGGTGTGGTTTGAGTCGACTCAAAACACACCTTTTCGTGCTTTGCTCAAAACACACCTTTCCGTGCTTTGCTCAAAACACACCTTTCCGTGCTTTGCTCAAAACACACATTTTCGTGCTTTGCTCAAAACACACCTTTTCGTGCTTTGCTCAAAACACACCTTTTCGTGCTTTGCTCAAAACACACCTTTTCGTGCTTTGCTCAAAACACACATTTTCGTGCTTTGCTCAAAACACACCTTTTCGTGCTTTGCTCAAAACACACCTTTTCATGCTTTGCTCAAAACACCTTTTCGTGCTTTGCTCAAAACACACCTTTTCGTGCTTTGCTCAAAACACACATTTTCGTGCTTTGCTCAAAACACACCTTTTCGTGCTTTGCTCAAAACACACCTTCTCGTGCTTTGCTCAAAACACACCTTTTCGTGCTTTGCTCATACTGGAAAAGCACACACCCCTCGGGCTCGGTCGTGCACCTAGTTGTCTATTCCTCTCAGTTGCTTTGTCATGCCGGCCATGTCTGTTGGCAACTTTTGCGAGAGCATGGATTAGGTTCTCCCTTTAAAATGGATTGGTTTGCGTTTCGAAATGGATTTGGTTCTGCTCTTCAAACGGTCCTTTGATTAATGCTGTGGGGGATACAGGCACACATGTGTATAAGCAATGAAAATAGAGCTTCGTATTTTCCCCTACCTCCCACCTTCTCCCCGCAGGTTGCCGTTTGAGGCGCATCGCAGCACTATCACTCTGCTTCCAGAAACCCTTTCAGCCTTCCGAGCAAAGAACCAGGTAGCATGTGACGTACTCTGTGCGTATGTACTATGTGCCATGTGTATGATGTCTCATGCATGTACCATGTACTATGTGCCATGTGTATGATGTCTCATGCATGTACCATGTACGAAGCAACATACACCATGCATCTCGTGTTGTGGTGCTTTCACTAGTCGTGTTACAGTACCTTCGTATGTGCACTTCCTCATTTAGAACTTATGTCACTGCTTTCTTATTGCTGATTTGTTTCAATGCATTGGTTTGTCCAATTCTCCTAATGAGCTCATTCTTTCCTTGTCAACTTCCTCATCGTGGTCCACCTTCCCTTTTCCCCATCTGTGGCGTTGGTTGTATCAGGAGCGTCAGCATGTGAATGCATGGATGCGTCTAGCAATTGGTAGATATGGCTCTGTGGTAGCTGGCATTGGAGCCCTGTTTACGGTTCCATTGCTGATTCAGCACTACGCTCGAGCCAGTGGCTGATGTTTTGAACAGAAATGAAAATATATGAGGTAGTTTGTACCATTCAAGAGCATGTAACACATTCCCAATTGCGAAATTTGCTCTCAGCCCTGCTCAGCCACAAATCACCAATAGGAGTCTTGTCTGGTCCTGAAAATCCACCTTTCGCCTTCAATGTGAATTTATTACTGGGTGTAGTACTTCGTTACACCGGTACTGTTTCGCTGGATTAGTGGTTGCTGGTTGGACGAACCCAGCCAGCGATGCAGGGAGCAAAGTGGGAAGTCGGGGGGGGTGCGCAGGGGGCGTGAGGGGACAGCCGGTGACGGACAGCGATAGGCCGAAAGAAAAGGTGGAGCGAACAAATAGGACGTGGGGGCAGCGAGCTATGTAGGTTGGGTTGGGGTTGGGGTGAAACGAAGCTGTACTGTGAGTGCAAGACCCTTCCGGGATCTAACGGAACCGCACTTCACCGATCACTTTCCAGTACCCTCTTGCCTCCTACTTGACCGTCGTGTTGCTTCCTTCCGCCATGCTTCCTGCTGCTGCTGTTCCGTTTCTGTCCGTCCTCCTCCCTACCACCCTCCTTCCGTCGTCCTCCCATCCCATCCTCCTTCCGTCCTCTTGGGTGTACTTTGCGGTGCGGTGCGTCTATCCGTCTGCCCGCTTCTTCTGCGTCTTGGGATTCTTCCTCGTCCACCGCAGCAAGTTGCGCACGTACTCACCACACCAGCGAGGCAACCTAAAGCCTCTCCCAATTTGCCCCATGGCCTGCACTGTCAGAATCGCAACATGACTCAGTTGAAGGAAGGGACATAGCATTCGTCAAGTCTGGTCATGCTGACTCTGCATCGCTGATACTACAGTTGCAGTACACAGTAGAGTAAGAAGCGCCTTTCTTGAGCGGAACCTAACTGGCTCAGTGAAAGCCGACTGGCTCGATGGATAAACACGAGAAGTTCATTTGAACACCACAGGACTTGCTCGCAAATCCTGCAAGCTATTCAGGCGTCGAACTAAAGACGCCTGCAATACAAATATTACTTCCATTCGCGTCACCACAAGCTCTCAGCTCCATCCCAGTAATTGACTCTCACGCACGGACGCCTGCACTCGGAGTTGTCTACTTTTAAATACAATGGCCCCTCGGTTTTCACCCACCGAAGCACAAGTTATCGCCGCGTCGCGCGCAGCCTTCACCGCCTACGATAACCCTCAGGATGCTCGTCCCGCCGTGAATCGCGGCTGTACAGGAAGCACTACTGTAAGAGTCGAAGACGTGGAACTAGCGTCGTTGGAAGGAAAGCTCCATCTTCTAGACCTTCAACGCCAGCTCAGCGCCGTCAAATGCCAGAGTTTCATCGAACGGTTGCAATCCGCCACGCAACGGACACCCGACTCGGACGACGAATCAGACGTCGCCACGCTGGCATTCTATTCTGAAGCTCGAACAGCTTCTGCTGACTCGTTACAAGAGCCGCGAATGTCGGCGCACGCTGCTCATTGTAAACAGCATCGGGAATATCTTTCTTCTTCACCTATGTTTCGTCACTCCGTGAGAGGGAAACACGGCAGCTGCTCCTGCCTGGAAAGCCGGCCTCGCGCTCTCAGGCGCCACGCATCGCTCGACGGCGCGGCACCTCCCGCGACCAGCGTTTCCTGGGCGAACGACTTGAACTTCTATGCCGAACCTGGTGCCGCGCCGCGTAGAAGTAGCTCTCACTCCCCGTGCTATCCGCAGAGCGTCTCGCACCCGCTGGCGTCATCATACCCCGGCGCGCCGCATTCCATTCCGCGGCGCACCAGCTCTGCGCGGGACAGCCCCAGACCCCCCCGACGCGTTAGGACCGCGGAGCGTGCTTCCGCGCCTCCACCGCGCGCTCTGACAATGCAGAGCAACACTGCTCCTGCTCCATATTCCGTCACTTTTCACTCCTAACCCCTGACTCGTGAACTTCATTATATTATGGTTTTATATATATATTTATACATAGAGTGTGAGTGTACCGTGCAGCTCGCGCAGTCATTTCCTTCTGCAGTCATTTCCTTCCGCCATTGCCACTTGCTGCCTAGTTTCAGCTCATGAGCTGTGGCTTCGGAGGAAACTGCTTGTGCAGTCTATTCTCTTCACAGAATTATTTATTGATTGTATTGAAGTCCGTTGCATTACTAGTTGCAACTCACTTCTTACTCCCATTGCACCAAACAGTTACAGAACGTGAAAACAAAATAAGAAAAAAGCCTGCCTAACAAGCAAAATGACTCGTATAGGAAGGATCATTACAGAGCGCCACTCACTCACCAAAGGTGAACAGGGCTCCTCTGTATGCTCCATGGGAAAAGGGCAACAAAACAGAACAGGAGACTAACGAACCCTAACTCCAGTAAAATAACCTCAGGTCAAGAGAACTGAAAGCGGGCTCGCAGATCAGATATAATCAGACAGATCAGACCAGATCAGATCAGACCTGACCAGACCAGATCAGAAAAGACCTGACCAGACCAGATCAGGTCAGATCGGATCACATTAGAGCATGCGAATGATGCAGAGGCGGAGGGCATCAATGTAGAGGTACACGAGACACGGCTCCACAATTCCTGCTGCAGCCAGCGTTGCACACAGACACAGGTACGACTCCACTGATGCCCCATGGCCCTCTGCATCTTCAATGTCAGCTTCCCCACTGCCACCACTGTGGTTATTGCTGTGAGCGCCCAGGCCGTCCCGGCGCTGCAGCAGGCGCAGCAGCGTGGACAGCTGGGGGCCACTGGGCTCCATGCCTCGTTCCACCATCTGGTTGAGACACAGGAGTGCACATGAGATGGGGATGCATGCATGGACGAGGGTACAGGAATGAGACGAGGATACAGGTGGACATGGACATTGGATACAGGTGGGCATACTGTAAGTCATGGCATATGATCGCATAACACAAAGCACTGCACCGCATTACACCACACAGCATCCCCCATACGCACCTCCTGCATGGAGGCAGCGGCAACATCGAGATGGCCACCGTTGATGGCTCCTGCCACCATCAGCGTGTATGCGTTCTCGTCCAATGGACTCCCCGCCTGCTGCATGCGATGCCGCAGCCTGACACACCAGAGAAAACCGCATCACACCGCACAGCGGACCAGGGAATGGAGACCAGATTGGTGGTGAGAAAAGAGTGACAGAAGTTGAGAGTAAGAATCCACCACATCGCCTGACATGGTAGCATGCATGGCAGAACACCACAGTGTATGGAAAAACAACAGCCCATGATACACACATCCCACT